GGAATGTGCTTTTAGTTATTATGCCGCCCGCAGCTGGAATCAGCTTCCAGAAGAGATCAGATGTGCTAAAACATTAGTCACATTTAAATGCAGACTCAAAACTCATCTGTTTAGCTGTGCATTTATTGAATGAGCACTGTGCGATGTCCGAAATGACTGCACTGTATTATATGTATAATCGTTTTCTTAAATCAATTTTTTTTTTTTTTAAATAATTTTCCAAGTTTTTAAATTCCTTGTTTTATTGTTGTGATTATTGTTTTTATTTTATTTTATGTAAAGCACTTTGAATTACCATTGTGTATGAAATGTGCTATACAAATAAACTTGCCTTGCCTTGGTAGAACTTTAGTGACACTTTTCTAAATGTGTTTGGACTACGGCAGTGAGCTCCACGGGAGGAAAGAAGGGTGGGCCACACCGCCTTGAGAAGAATGGAGAAGCGCCAAATTGCAATCTCCTCCTCATCAGAAAGAGATAAAGAGATCAAGGAGTGTCTGTTGAAAGGGTACAAGTCTCTGGCCTGTGTGGTAGGAGGTAATAACAGATATGCTACGTCCTGAGTCCACAGTCCGTGAGGTAAGAGGTACTCTACATTCAGTCTTCATCCAGCGAAACAACAGATGCAGCACGTCCCGAGTCTCCATCCCAGAGAGACAAAAGTGGATCGACCGAGTTCTGAGTCTCTAGCCCAGAGAGGCAGAAGACATGCAGACATTTGCAACGAGGTTAAGCTCCGGCAAGCAAACCTTCACTTCAAGCTACTTTCGTCTGCTTTTTCCAGACTAAGGACCTTCTGCACCTACTCCAGGGCCACATCTGCATGTTCCAGATTTTAGGACCCTTTGGTGCTCCAGGAGACCAGCATCCTACAGCACTTCATGTTCAAAGCTCTCGAAACAGATTCCTGCTCCTTTTCCCAATGCATTGTTACCAGCACACCCAGTGGAAGAAGTCACCACCACCGGACTGCTCACTCGATCGCAGAGAACGTAAATATCACTTATCCAAACCTCCTCCAGAGACCTTGGCATTGTTACATATGATCATTTTCTAATTTACATCAGATATCAGTTAACAACAAATTATCTTATGGAAAGATAAACTGTTGCTCAAAACAAATAAATGCAAGATTAAGTAACCTTGTCATAGCAACACCCAACTTAATCACTTGCATTTTATGCATCTTATTCAGAATCAGAATCAGAATGAGCTTTATTGCCAGGTATGTTTACGCATACGAGGAATTTGTTTTTGTGACAGAAGCTTCCACAGTGTAACAGAACGACAGTGACAGAACAAAAAACACAGATAATAAAAATAGAACAAGTAAATAAGGAATAAAAATATATAAATTGACAGTTGTATGTGCAGGTACATTACAATAGACAGTTTTGTATGTACAGGTACTGTATATTATGTGCAAATTTGAGGTGTAGGCTGAGTATGAGTGTTAGATAAATAAGTGTATGAGTGAATAAATAGTGTGTGTTCCACAGTTATTGTCAAGTGTTCATGAGATGGATGGCCTGAGGGAAGAAACTGTTCCTGTGTCTGGTCGTTCTGGTGCTCAGAGCTCTGTAGCGTCGACCAGATGGCAACAGTTCAAAGAGGGAGTGTGCTGGATGTGAGGGGTCCAGAGTGATTCTGCCAGCCCTTTTGCTCACTCTGGATATGTACTCTGATAAAATTCCTTTATCATTCATGGTATTTATTTAGTAGATGGGGATTACTCTGGTTTATCTTTTGTTAATAAAATTATTTCATTACACTTGTGTCTTAGTGTTGATAACACAGTAAGAGACTCTACAAGTTAACATTACATCACCGATCTTTCATTTAAATCAACTGACCAACTCCCTCCAGTTTGCATTAATTGTAAATGACTGAACAGCCCCTCTGTTGGGACTGTTCTCATACTTCCAAGGTGAAAGCCCTCGACTGATGCCTTGAACCAAGACGGCGGCGGGGTAAGTGGTCATCTGACAACACCTTAAGTGACGCATGATCCAAAATCACAGCGTGATTGTCACAATCAGTGACGCGAGTACCCATCACTACAGCACTGATGCCACTGACTGGCCCTCAATCCTGAGCCTCTGGGACGTCATTTATCAGAGCATCCCAAGCACTACAGACCGTCCAGGAGCTCTCTGATGTCCTGATCCATCCATCATCTCATCAGGATCAAGCCTAGACGTTGTCGGCAGTGCATACAGGCACGTGGAGGCCATACACACTACTGACTTACACTATGAGCTGCTGTGATGAAACTCATGCACTATCGATCAGCCTGTAGTTTCAGATTTTTACTCAGATTTTGAATCCAGTCCTCAGTGGGTTGATGATTTTGCTTTCCATTGACCATTGTTACACAATTTTCTTCAACGAATAACACAGTGTATACAAGTAAAGATATTCAACTTATTTCATTATATGTATATTTCATTAATTTCACAGATTCAATGTGTGAAAGTGTTCCGTTCATTTTTTTGAGCAGTGTATTATGAATAGTATTTTTGTTATTTTCTGTTGGAATTATTAATAACTTTGTTGTTTTTGTAATTTTAGTATTATTTGTTTAGTAGGACTATATAGTTTTTATTGCTGTTAAATTTTTGTTTTAGTTATTTTAGTACTTCAAATGAAATGAAAATGAGAAATGGTGTCCTGGAAACTACCTGGAATAAAATGTTTTTTATATTTTATTCCAGTTCATGTTTATTTCAAGTTATGAAAACGTTTTTTTTAATGATTTTGTTTTCAGATAACTATAAAAACTGCTTCTCAATTGCTTTGGATAAAACGGTCTGTTAAATGAACAGCAGAATAACTTGGGCATTACATTTACAGGCGTGTGTCCGAATACATCGTGATTCTCTCGAATGGATTCTGAGGTTAGTTTTTAACAGCAGAGGGCGCCCTAGGCTAGTTTCTAACAGCACACTCAAATGCTCACAAAGAAGAGCGCTTGTGCGTTCGGTTAAGACATGTAAGTGGTTAAATGTACTTGCACATCGGCTTTTATGCTTGCCCGCAAGATCAATGTAAACACAGCCCACTGTGGACACCCTTGTAATTTGATTAAACCTTTTCGAACTTTGAATGATTATTTTAGGTTTAAATAGTGCATGTGTGGAACTGGAAGCAAGCAGAGTACAGCTGTTTCTAAAGCACGCAGTGCCATCTGCTGTTAAAAACTAAGCTCAGAATCGATTTATAATGGCACCCCTAGTTTTACATAATGACGGTGTCCTCACCTGACACATGAAGTCCGGGACGATCCTGTGGAAGATGGACTGGCGGTAGCCGAAGCCCATCTCTCCCGTACACAGAGCCCGGAAGTTCTCCGCCGTTCTGGGCACGATGTGAGCGAAGAGCTCCATGACGACTCTCCCAGCATGCTCGTCATCTACGGTGATGTCGAAGAACACCACAGGGTTGGAGTCTCGAGACAGCGCCTCGGCGGCAGACACCTGAGCGGCGTCAGTCTGACACATGCGGCTCTGGCAGTCTGTGAAGGCTCGTGTGAAGGACTCCGCCAGCTCTGAAGTCTTGAACTTGGCCGCCAGCTGCTCCACTTTCCCGTCTCCCTCTGTGTGGACAAACATACAGACGTGAGGACAGCGGCAGCATGGTGATGTGTGTGAGGCGAGGAGTGAGGGCTGCACCTGCGTAGTCTGTGGCGGTCCACACCAGAGAGTTAGCCGAGGTGTTCATGGGCTTGAGCTCGATGCTCGGGCTGATGCTGTGGTTGGCGCAGACTCTGAGCACCTGCTCGCGTCTCATCAGCAGGCGGTAGCTCTTCTTCAGCGGGTGGAATAGGATCTTGAGGTCTCCCACGCCGCGCTCCTTCCACTGGTTGAGCTCGCGGCCCCCGCGGGGAGGTTCAAACATACAGACGTGAGGACAGCGGCAGCATGGTGATGTGTGTGAGGCGAGGAGTGAGGGCTGCACCTGCGTAGTCTGTGGCGGTCCACACCAGAGAGTTAGCCGAGGTGTTCATGGGCTTGAGCTCGATGCTCGGGCTGATGCTGTGGTTGGCGCAGACTCTGAGCACCTGCTCGCGTCTCATCAGCAGGCGGTAGCTCTTCTTCAGCGGGTGGAATAGGATCTTGAGGTCTCCCACGCCGCGCTCCTTCCACTGGTTGAGCTCGCGGTCCCAGCGGTAAAGTTTGGCTCTTTCTCTGAACAGGATCTCCTCGTCCTCCTCACCAGACCTCACCTCCACCTGCAGAATCAGCACACGTCACACTTCTCCAGAGACACGAGGAGCACAGCTACCAGCATCACAGCAAACACTCACCTCAGGCAGAGACACGATCGGCTCAAAGTGGATCTCCTCATTATGAGTCGTCTCTTCATCACTGCCCTCCTCTTCTGCTTCACTGCGAGCCTTTTCTCCTTCATTTTGTGTCGCTGCGCTTCCAAAGACTCTGGCTCCTGCGTCTGACCATGAGAAATCATCATCTGCAGAAATAAACACATGATGAAAACAGCACACTCACAATATCAATGCTGACAGCAGCAGCATGCTATCATACTAGAACTTCATAATACCAATTCATATTAATGCTGCCAATGAACACAGACACACATGCAAAAAACAAACATTATGAACAGCTTGTTTACAGGATGAGACGAGAGCTTGTCACAAGGTTTAGACAACAGGGCTGAGCGCTAACATAACAATCAGAGCAAACAGAAAATACATTATGAAATGCAGAAATGAGTGAGACTTCATGGAAACTGTTCATCATTTACTTTTCATGGAATTTGTGATTTTTTCCCCCAAAACTGATGCTATGCATAGGTCTTTAAAAACAAAAAAGATCTTATGATCTGCTTTAGGACAGCATTGTCAGAAATCAAACAAAGATGAAATGAGATTAGAATACAAATAACAGTATGCAGTGCAAACATTATTACCTGAACACACCTATTAGACTTTCACCTCATATGACAACCAGTGTTTCTGCTTAAGCACAGAATAAATAAAGTGCCGAATGTGTGTCATTGTGTTCTGAAGGAACACCACTGAGTTTGGTGAAAACAAACCAAAATGTAATTTATAATTTAGTGTGCCTGGCATTGATGAGCAGCAGTGAGATCACACCAGCGAGACAACCCTAAAAACCCTTTCCTCTCTCGTGCTCTGATCCAAATCTTTCATGAAGACATGCAGACTATAATAACATTGCCATGTAATGTTTTTTTTCTCCAGCCTTACAAGAGACACAGAAACGGGTAAACAGACTCACCTCTTTTGCAAAATGCTAATTCACCTGAACCCTTTGCCAGTTCTGCAAATGAAACCTCACCCGCAGATTCAAATCCAAAAGCGAGACCTGCTGGAGGAAAGCAGACACACTCATTCAAACAAGCGCTCAATCATCGTTTGCTGTTTAGCAACGAAAAAAATATATATATTTTTTAATCAAATAAATCATCTAAATCAACTAGATTTATTAAATAAACGTATTGCTTCAGGCACAAAAGTAAATTTGTACTGGTTTGTGGAACATCTAATTGACCGTAAACGTCGCCCAAGGGGCATCCACTCAAAACAATCATTCAAAGGGTGTGTGCAGTCTCCTGTAATTGTATGTGCCATCCTCATCACTTGCTGTTCATAATAAAACGTAAGACTTCGCAAGGGAACACCTACAATTTTTGAGCACATATTAACAATACCTTGCAAAGATTTCTGTTCTTTGTAGACAATAAGGAAAACCAACAAATAACCTTTGCCATTTCCCCATTCATTTCCAATGGCGCTCATTTTTGACTGCGAACAACACAAGTGTGACTTTTGTTTTTATGACCATTTAGCGTTTTCCAATCAAGTCCAAGATTTTTTTTATGGTCACAGTGACTGCAATAAAAGTCAGTGAGTTTTGTACCATTCAGATGAAGTAGCGATTTTTAAAATTTCAAAACTTTTTCTGGTCTAAAATGACCTACATTACAAAAAAGCTGCTGAAAACACCGGCAACCAGCGAGTTGGACTCCAGCTCTCTTTGAGAGTTTCTGCTCAGCCGGTGTTTTCTTTCACCAAGCTGCTTGTGCCGTTTACTGCTACTACACCTGCCTTCAGGAAGTGTAGTACATCCAGACATGGATCGCGTAGCACAGAGGATGCAGACGTGCATTGTGAAGGTCTGACTGGCACTCACCTGTAGCGGTGCTGTCGCTCTCACTGCTTCTCTTGGTGGAGAGGTCGATGGGACGGCTGCCGTCAGTCTGACGCTCTTCTGCTCCGCCGCTGCTCGTGTCCACAGCTGCTGCATCATGGGAAGGCTTGGGTGCTGTGCTCACGGCGATGTGAAGATCAGAAACATTCATCACCTGCTCCTGCTGCAGCTTCTGGAGCTTAGTGCTGAAGTCATCTGGGTTCTCTGCCTCCGGCTCGGAGTCGCTGCTGACGTTGCACAGGACAGCGGGAGACAGCAGGAGGCGTCTGGCTCGCTGCTCCTCGTCTGCAGTCGACTGCTTCTCCCACACCAGACTGACCTCCGAGTCTGCAGACACAAGCATCTCCATCACTACACCTCACACATCCACCAACTCCTACACCGGCCCTCACCGCTGAGCCCTGATGACTCCACTAGTCCCAGTAACGCATTTCACAAGCCCAGCCTACCGTGATCAGACGCTCCATCGGCTCCATCCGCACACAGCTTCCCCTTCAGACTCCTCACTGCGCTCTCAAAATCCTCATCTGAAAGCACACCGAGTGCATCTGATGTTAATCATTTCTCGCAGAGACCGAGACCTCTCGAGTCAGAACATGTGAATACCAGAGCTCGCAAAAAATCCACTAGCCTGACGTCACTAGCCCGGCCCTGCCCCCCCGACGGGCTTTCTTCAATAGTGAAGTCAAATCCCTTCCTTGATTTGCATTGTGCACTCGCTTGTTCATTATTGATCACTCGCACGTGTTTCCATTGTAAACATTCAAGTGTTTTAAAGCATTCAAGCACATGAAGAGGCGAAAGAGAGTTCAACTCCGTATTCCGCAGAATTAATTCCTCTTTCGCATCTCCTGCTCTTGAACGGACAAATACACAAAAATGTCAAAATACCCGTCTCATTCAGCATTCTGGTAAACGCAGCCGGTTATGCCTTACGTGAACATAAAGAGTGAAGAACGAAATCAGACATGTATCTGTGCATCACATTTCTGTACCTCAATACTACTGTTAGATCTTATTTTATTTGTAACTTTATTATACTGCACCATGTTGTATTTACGTCACTATACTGTATTTATTTACACTTGTAATTTGTTTATTTGTTCTTATTTTATTATTGACAGTTCACTTGTCTTTAAAAATGTTTGACCTTTATTAGTTATGCTACTAGTTTTTCCTGTAGTTTCGAAGATGTTCTTCAAATAATGTTTTTAATAATATAAATATATGATCTGATCTCTCAACCCGTAATACGAGCCGAACTGTGAGTTGTGATCCGTTGCACACCTACTCTCCTGACTTATTTGAAGAAAAAGTACAATCACTGAGGTTTTTGATCATGCTGATTTGCCGATGTCCAGTCGATGTGTTTTTATTCAGGTTAGTTCAAATTCATTTCAGGCTACCAAAATCTGAAGAAAGCCAGCCAGAAGGAGCCCTGAACACTGTTAAAGATTTAAACATAAGTGTGTAAGTGTGCAGAAGAGCAGCTCTGATAAACTAATCATGGTTTGGTCATTTGTTGTACCGTCACAGGTGACAGAAACCAGACTCTATGTAAACAGAGTGTAGATCTCACCATCGCGGTCATCGTCGCTGACATATCCTGGAAGGTTTTTATAACAGAAGAAGGTATGAGGAAGCATCAGTCTGGCAGCCAGCTCTGCTTGCTCTCTCGTGGGCTTCAGCACATACACCATCTCAACATCATCCTCATCCTCATCACACTCGTCCGGAGCGCTCTTCTGCTCTGACGGAGAGGAAACTGAGCAACACACAAACACAAACTAGATTAACTAATGCAATAACAACAACTGCTAAATGGATAGTTCATCCCAACATGCAAACTCTAAAGCTGTACGTCTGACAAAACACAGGATTTTCAAAGTCACTAGAGTCTCAACAGCACTGGTGCCATTGACTTTATACTGTGCTGGAAACATGATCTCTGATTCTGTGTCCCGTGGAAGGAAGTCGTACAGGTTTGGAAGGACGAGACTGAGTTTTCATGTTTGGATGAACTATCTCTTGAAGCGCTCACCTCGTTTGAGTAGAGTTTTCAGAAGCAATCTGAAACCAGCATGTGGCAGACAGACAAAAGTACACACTTCACACCCAACATTAAATCAGTAACTCTACATGACACACACATGCAAACACTCAGACTGTGATGAAGCATCCGCAGCGGTCATTCACCACCAGTGGCGCAGTTCAGCTTAATGCTTTATTTTTGACCCGTCACGAAAGTTTATCATATGTATGGCGTTTTGCCAATTAAAGCATTCAAAAGATTTTAAACCTTTGCCAAAAAAATAAAAATCGCGAGCTAAATGTGTCACTGGAGCGCTGTTTTCTGTGTGCGCACTCTGACAGCGCACCATCACAGAACATCGCAGAGTGCACTTTTCGTCTTATCGCGCTCGAACGACCAAATACACACAACATTACATCTTAACTAAGTTCAAAAAAGTTTTACCTGAACGTAAACTGAGAAAATCTGATGTGTGAGTGTCAGATTCCTACATTCGGTCTGAAAGTGAGAGCAGCTTGCTGTCTGTGTCATTAATATTAATTAAAGAACAAAAGAAAAATCACTCTGCTCTTGACTGAATAGCTTCATCTTTAATAAGGAATAATTTATAAATGTGTAAAACCTCGTGATAAATCCTGCTCAGCATTAAGCTAAATTAACGGTCTCATGCAGGCGCAACACGCAGAGTAGGTTTTGTGTGAAAGCATGAATGAAGGCAGACTGCTGAGGGAAATTATACGAAAGACTGTCTTCAGAAGAGCTTCCATGGCATTTTCTTTTTGTTTACCAGCGGGGAAACCGCTCTATTTCTGCTGCTCCATCAGCGCCCCCTGCTGTCAGACAGTGGCGGTACAGTCTCATTCAGCCCGTCTGCCTGTTTGTTCAGACCAATGCAAAATTCACATCTAATTTTTGTTGTAAATCTTAACTGGCAGATGGAAAACAAGCTAATATGTATTCTAAAAATCTCAACACTTTGAATAATAAGCTAGCCTATGTAGAATTAGCCTACAATAAGCAGAGATCATGTGATGCGTGCTGGGATTCACTGGGATCTCTCCTTTTACGGTCTTCCCCGTTATTTTAAAGCAACGAGACAAGAATGTGGTTAAAAACAAAAACAAAACAAAAAAGCTCTCCTCTGGACGAGGAAGATCATCTTTCTTCAGCTCAGGTCGGCAGGCACTGTTTTAATCAATGCAGCCATCTCCTCACTTATAATGTGGAAATGTGAGGGTTAGTAACTCATTCCAGATCAGTATTCAGTATACGAGCACATCAGTGTCCCAACTTTCCCCAACACTGGTGATATTCTACAATATTCTTCTTCAGCCGAAACTCCGCATGTCTTCCATTCAAACTCATCTGAAACTCCGTGTAGATGCAGAAACATGTAAACTGCGTATGGGGAACCAAGACAAACCAACATTCTCCCATTTCAATACTTGAAGGCATTTACTTTTGGGGGGGTTGTTCTGGTCAATGCCAGCGATTGAAAAATAGGTCCAAAGACTCGAGACCTACGTAGGCAGCAAGAGATTATACATTAGACATTTCTTTAGCTTGACCATAATGGGGGAAACATCGCTATGTATGAGGCATCTATCTGAACTACAACATAAGAATGAGGAAAGCAGCAACAACAGCTAAACGGGAACGCAGCATGCAGATCCACACACTGATTTGTTAGCTGGTTAGCAGACTCACAACAACCAACTAGTACACAAAAGCCCAAAGTATGCTTCAGTTGTCCGCTACGTCTCATGAGCTATGTCTCTAGCACATCTGACTGTCTGAAGCTGCCGTCTGTGCATGTAATCGACTGGGTTAACTGGTGCTTCATGAGGTTCCCGTCAGGAGGAAGCGGCAGTTGTTCAACTCAAGCTTGAGAGAGTCCAGGCCGTCCTCTTCACTGTCGGTGGAGTATATCCTCAGAAAGGCTAGAACGCTCAACAGTGTTCTAAATCTGTCACTCAATCTGGTTCTGACAGTCAGTTTCAGTCCTCTAAAATCCCAAGCTACTCTTCATGGTCATAATAACTCAATAGACAAATGCGTTATTCCTCCGTTAAATGCAGACAGACGCGGGGCGAACCGGACAGTCAAAGTCCAGCAACTCGCAGAAATTTCAAACAATGTTGGGAAGAATTTCCCAAATATTTGATCATCATTGTAGAAAGCATGCTGCGACGGAGGCGTCCTAAACCTTTTCTGACAGACTTGTACATAAATACAAGTGAAGATTTAAAAGCAGCCATCTGTCAGTCAGGCCGTCCTAAGGCACCAAATAAAGCCTTTACAATGGCGTTAAAGACAGGGGGGGGGTAACTGAACTATTTTCAGTTACTCCTGAAATGACCATGACTGACAGGGCTAATCTCAGTGTTACTTTACATTAATAGCACATCATGTACTGATACATATAACATTTAAACTCCGAAATTAGAAGAATTTGAAGTTTACTCACAATATTAAGTATTTTACTGTAAATTCTATTAATCTACATGATTAAATCGCAACTACTACTTTAAGCAAAACTGACAATTATGATTTGTGAATGTTTACAGAGTCTGATCTCTGTAGTCTCTGTAGAATTCTATAAATCAAAGTTAATATTGGTGAGAGAAATAATGCAACCCTATCATTTAGCACAAGAAACACTGTGGTTAAGACAGTACAGAGTAACCACATAAAACTGAACTCTGTACAGGTATCATATTATTAGTTGGTCTGTTGGAAAAATAGCTCAATTTGTCAAAACACCCATAGAACTGCAGAACAAGCCTGTCGAGTTTCTATCTGTTCTAATCCAAAAGTATTTAGATTACCTCTCAAAAGAATAAAACCAAGATATGAGAACAATATGTAAGCTTTGGCCATTAGCAATCTATATAAAGCACCTGTCGCAATATTTCCATCACTAAAAACAGCGGGACATTCTAAAACATTTAATGTGACAACACTTAACATGCCTTTAAAACAGTGATATTAAAAGATGAAATTAGTACACACCTTACTGATGATGCAGGCAAGCAAATGAGCCCGGAATCTGAACGCAATGTGCTAAATGGTTAAGTGTCTTCTTTATAATGGTGTTCTATGGAAAAACATTTAATATTAAACTTTGCACATCGTTTATATTCTGGGTTCATCTGCTTGCCTGTGCAAAGTATGTATCATCAATAAGGTGTATACTTAATTTGGCCTTTAAATATCACTTTCTTATTACATTACTACTTAATGCAAACCTCCTAAAAATAACTGGCGGTCAGTGGAGGTGGAATCATACATACAGTGGGTACGGAAAGTATTCAGACCCCCTTAAATTGTTCACTCTTTGTTATATTGCAGCCATTTGCTAAAATCATTTAAGTTAATTTATTTTCCTCATTAATGTACACACAGCACCCCATATTGACAGAAAAACACAGAATTGTTGACATTTTTGCAGATTTATTAAAAAAGAAAAACTGAAATATCACATGGTCCTAAGTATTCAGACCCTTTGCTGTGACACTCATATATTTAACTCAGGTGCTGTCCATTTCTTCTGATCATCCTTGAGACGGTTCTACACCTTCATTTGAGTCCAGCTGTGTTTGATTATACTGATTGGACTTGATTAGGAAAGCCACACACCTGTCTATATAAGACCTTACAGCTCACAGTGCATGTCAGAGCAAATGAGAATCATGAGGTCAAAGGAACTGCCTGAAGAGCTCAGAGACAGAATTGTGGCAAGGCACAGATCTGGCCAAGGCTACAAAAAAAATTCTGCTG